TTCTAGGTCCGCTCCTAGTCCCCTACTTCATCGTACAATACGTTAAAGTGCATTCCATTAGACATTGAATAAGGAATCCATTGTCATCATTGATGCATCTCTACTAATGATAGTTGACATTATTATTGTTTTTATCAGATGAACAATCAACAGAACGTACATTTTAAATGTATACATGTAAATGGGTATAGAACTATACATATGCATGTTTACATATTCATGCTTAGGAATAAGCTTTCCTAAACACGTGCAAGGTCGAAATCAAGGAATATCACTCCCAAACTACGACATGTAGATTCTCTTTTAAGATCCTCTTTCAGAGCCCCGTGTATCATTAAGAGAACTAGTGTAACATGTGTAAATAGACCAAGCCTCCTTAAGATGCACAAATCAGCCGGTCTGTTTACAAAAACTACTCTCTGGACCATAATTCTTAACCAACTTTTTATTTACTACAAATTTTGAATCCTTAATCAAGTCATAATTTTGCAATAAGTGAAACTTAAATATTTTTTTTCCAATTGTAACGAAGCAAACAGAATAACAAAATATCACTTCCTAATACATATAAACTTGGATCCACTTCCTTTTTGTTGTTTCAACGGTCACAAGTTTAGTCTCACATCAATAAAATCCGTGGCATGCACAAGAGGTGGGGGTGGGCTATACTCACCTCCCGTAAACAAACATGGTATCAAAAGGGTGAAACTTGAAAGAGAAAAAAGTAGACCTCAGAGCGTCCTTACACTTACACAACCAGTGAATACCATAAAGCCCTAAAGCAAGTCGTAATCCCTGAATTTTGAACAGCACAGACCCAAAAATTCGTGAGTCAACACTAGGATAAGCATTCTTATTCACACTCACTTTAGAGCCAAATTCAACAATAAAGTCTAGTACAATCTACCAGCACTTTATACCAATCAGCTATCCATTTACTATCCCAAACATATTTGTAAAACTCTTCAACAGAGGTTGCTGTTGGATGTTGTCTGCACCTAAGCACTCAACTTCTAGTGGCATACCACGCACCCAATAACGAGTAGGGGGTATGAGAGAATTTTTTAGAAATCAGTGAATTTTCAAGAGTTGCATCTGATCATTGAAATATTACGAGTGATTAAAGCTATCAAGATAGGTGATCTACACACACAAGAACACTGGGTTATTATGAATAATGGAAAGTGACAACCAGAGGTTAGACCTCAAGACATGCTATATGTTTGCGTCAAAGTTTTGCCCTAAGAGGTTAGATCTAGGGCTGAGCATAGTCCTGTTCGGGTTGGTTCTAATGCGAAATTTTTGAGTATTTAGTGAGTGGAAGTGTGGAACCATTAGATCCAAATTTAATTATGAAACCATTCGGGTTCGGCTAGGTTCCCTTCGGTTCTCGAGTTCCATACTATAATTAAATTTTTAATATTTACCAAGCTATATTAATTCAACTAATGACCTGTTCAATCTTAACTCTTATAAAATAATGTAGTTCAATATTATGTATCTTTTGCGTCTCTCTTTATTGAATTTTTCATAAATTTGATTGTTAAAATCATAAGAAGAAGAAGAAAATAGCGAACTCACAGTAAATAAAAGAGGCGTTGTCGAGCTTTAGAGCCTGTTTGTGAGTGATTTTGAGAATAAATTTTTTTATCGTTAGGAGAAAAGTGGGGTCCACCCGTGAGAGAAGAAGTCAAATATAACGGTTGAAATAGTGAAATAAAGGTCAAAAAATCAATTTTTTGGGCAACAAAATCACTCCCAAACAGGCTGTTAATTCGATTTCTCTAGAACGGTAGAAACGGCACCTGATAAAATAACGGACTTGAGTAAAACTTAGGTCAATTTGACTAAGTTAGGCTTGAATTGAGAATTAGAAATAGAAAAAATCATATTTTGGGGGGTTTAAGTTAAATTAACTAGTTAGCAGATTTATTTAGAAAAATAAAATAATTAAGCTTGTTTACAATAAATTAATTAAAAAAATTAGGGAGATTGGTTCTTATTCAATTCTTGATCTAAAATCAAGAACCGAACAGAACAAAATCCATCGGCTTTTGATTCTGATACCCGTTAAGATATTTAACTTAACAAGAACTACTCGATTCGAGAGTTTTGTCCAGCCCTAGTTAGATCACAAGACATGCGATATGTCTACATCAAAGTTTTGCCCTAAGTGAGGATCTTTTAATTTCAGTCGTGGACAAGATTACATGCCATCAAGATCATATCCCTTGGTGTATGCTAATCACTATAAACAGAGTATAAATCTATGAGATGATGAATGAGATAAAACTTAGGTTAGGACTTTGAAGGAATACTTAGGAATCTAAAGGCTTTAGGATAACTAGAACTAAGAGAAATGTCACGTGATACTAGAATATTACCAATCCAACAGTGCACTCTCAAACTGTGTAACCCTGGCAAGCACCAAGACTTACAACTACATATCTTCATAACTCGTGCAAGAACCCTCGACAAGTTAGAAATAAAGAAAAAATCAATATCAATCAAACTGCAGATTTCAAGACTGAGTTATACCAACACAGAAAACGAACAATATTCAATCAATACATAGGAGGCTAATTCTTAATAAAATTAAAAAATCTACAAAATGCTAAGGAGTTTGTCCACAACATTAGGGAACTCCCCATTCCAGTTAATTCACACCAATTTAAGAGACGGATCAAGAGAATTGGAAAACAAATAAATCCCTCACTAACTCTAACACATCATAACATACAATAGAAATCAAAAACTATAATTAATTTCAACTCGTGCAAAGCCAACATTCCCAAATTCAAGTTAATTAACAGCATTTCACATTTTCAAACAGCCCAAAAACAGACAAGGGGAACCATAGAGACAAAATTCAGTAGAGTTGGACATAAGTAAACCCCTCACTAATTCCAAATCATTCAATTACATCAAACACAATAATTCGTAAAATATACGTAAATTTGAACTGCGCAAAGTTAACATCCCAAAAACTCCAGTAAATTAACAGTAGAGGTTTTCACTCCACATTCAGCAAGTCAATATCATTTATTTCCTGGACAAAACCAACTACACAAGTTTGACGATTCCAACACAGAACCAGTCTAAAAAAAGCAGAAAATTAAAACCATACCCCAGGTAATGGCAACACTTTCTAATCAGATTCAGTGTGTTGAGTCTGGGCAGAATCGAGTTCGAGCCGTTCTAGTGCTTTCTGGTGGGCCCATGTCTCGATGGTGAGATCGGGCTTGGCGTTGAGACCTACTCCAAGGATAACGATTGTGAGGAAGCTGGTGACATAGCAGGGCAACTCCCAGTCCTCCCACTTTCGAGATTGTCCCGGCGGCGGTGGCGTCCGGCTGAATAGGTATCCCTTGGGGCGTTCCTCATGACCCGGACTTGCCCACCGGCTGGGCCCGTGCCCTCCGCCTCCTCGGGTCCGGAGGGAAGGGGATAGCCGAGTCCGGAGCGTGCCGGCGATGGTCGCAAAGGGCTTTGCGGACGGCATAGTTTTTTAAGAGAGAGATATTCCGAGTCTCTTTTGGATCTATATTCCAGACCAGAAGGGTTAAGAGTGTGTGTTACTCACTCAACTTATACATTGTTTCATTTTGGTATCACAACTTTTTGTTTTTCAAAATTAGTTCCTGAACGTTCGTATTTATTTCAATTTAAGCAATTATGACTTATAATTTTTTTTTTTTTTGAATATTTTAGTTTCAGATGCTAAATCCACATTGTTTTTGGGCACTAAACACATGTAGCTATACTTGAAAGTAATGTGTCGGAAAAGAGTTACATTTCGGCGAGCAAAATTTCAATATATCTACACGTCGTGATGACATCATCTTATATTGATTGTTCCTCAGAGTTAATTGTTTAAACGTTCACCGAACTTTGGGTAACGTCACGTTCCACTGACTGAACTTTCACTTGAAGAAACACACGCTTTCTCATAATTAAACCAAAATCTCCCAAAGGAAGTGAAGAACCCTAACCCCACAAAATCATCCACTCAGCCGACAAACATAGCGCACCAACACTACCACACAGAAGGTATAGTGTTCAGTTAACTCAAGAATCGCATATGATGGGACCACATGATGGTAAATGAGAATAATTTTTCACATTTGTTTTTCGATTTCTGTTATTTATTGTCGGGAAATGACTATAAAATGTCGACATTGATAAGAGACTGTCGACATTGATAAGAGAATGTCAAATTTTTGTGTGTGAGTTCATGCTCGCATAGAAAATTTCACACATAGTATACTCAAAATTATTAAATTACTGGATGTTCTGTATATAGCCTTTTTGGAAATTGTATACTCATGCATTTAAGGGCTTCATTTTTGGACAATGTAGTTTTTTTTACCCCGGATGTAGTGGTGGAATTATGATGGCAAAAGATTGTATACATTGCTTGAGTAAGGGTTATGATCTTCTTGAATCTTACAATTCTTTGTAACTTCTTGCTTACAGGTGAAAAATAGTGTGTTATTTTTTTCATCATTGCCTAACGTTGACAAAAAGTTTTCCTAGGAAAGGTTGTCAAAAAAGTTTTTCAAGTATTATGATATGTTGTCTGACATATTATTATTTCAATGATTTCTTAACAAATACGGATGATGATTCCGACTTTGATGATTCCCGGAACGATATATCATCCGGTGAAGAAAATTTGGAATTTGAGAAGAACGTGATTGAAAGAATTGAGGTAGGTTGTGCTGGGGGTGCAACCGAGCGAGATGAAGATGATAATGCAGTAATGCTACACGACAAAGACCATGATGCTGATGATCTGGAATGTCCATCATCTGAAGAACTGTTGTCCGCTATGTCATCGATGATGAGATGGGTATCGGTCTCCAGAGTTCACGACAGAAATGGATATGCGAGATCCACATTTTCAGGTCGGGTAGTTGTTTAGTTCTGTTAAAGAATTTAGAAAGGCTATTCGGACTTACGGTGCAATAAATGGATACAATGTGAAGTGTAAGGCAAATGACGAAAGAAGAGTTCAAGGCATATGTAAAGCTGAGTGCGAATGGACAATATAGGCTTAGGAGATGAATAATTTAGAGACGGTGCAAGTGAAGTCATATATGCCTCGATACACATGCAGTAGGGATCAGTATAATTGTCATTGCAACTGCATTTTCATAGTCCATCGGTATTTCGAGCAGTTTAAGGCAGATCTGAATTGGAAAATGAAAAGTATGCAAGTGACCGTGAAGGAGGACCTAAAGATAAATATTACTAGAAACGTCGCTTGAAAGGCGAGAAGATATGCGAATCGGATGATAAACGGGACTATCAAATAACAATTCATCCAACTGAGGTCCTATGCAACGGAGGTCTTGAGATCCAATCCAGGATCAACAGTGATAATCGCAATTAATGGTCAGGTGTTTCAAGGCATCTATATTTGTTTAAGTGCTTGCAAAACGGGGTTCCGACATAGGCATCGAAAGATCATTGGAGTAGATGGGTGTCACCTCCGCGATGTTTGGGGAGGTATAATGCTCACTGCAGTCGGTCTCAATGCGAACTACTGCATCTATTCTGTTGCTTATACCGTTGTCCAGAAAGAGAGCACGATTGCATGGAGATGGTTGATGAGATATTTGGTCAAGGATATTCAAATGGGAGATGGTACTAATTGGACTGTAATGACAGATAGGCAAAATGGCTTAAGTAACGTCATGGATGAGTTATTTCCAGCAGTTGATCATAGGTTTTGTTGCGTGTTGTCACACCTGTCCTACCCACCTAGGCCAATGGCCCACTCATCCTGATCCACGTGGCATTCCTGCCGAGGTGGCACACATTCTCGAGGTGGGTTATATCCGAAGTGCATCAAGCCGAGGCCCATGATCCGAGGCAAGGACCTGTTGGATGTAGCTGAGGTCCTCAAGTGGAAGTATTTGTTAAATGGGCGAAGCCCCGAAGTTGATGCACGAGCCTCTTAACCACAAGGAAACATCCTCCATGGTCACTTCTCCCAAGAGATCGCCTGCACAGATCTTATTCGACTGATTGATGGAACGTTCGTCATAAGCATAAAGGTCAAGTCTTGTCACTAGTATAAAGGACCTGCGCAAGCAATAAATGCGCCGTAAGCTAGCAAGTCAAGTCCCATGCTTAAGAACAGACGCTTGAACTAAGGAGATGAGGCCACGTGCCACTTCATCCAAGGGCTCCCATTTCATATGTATCACTATAAATACTTCCATTGTGTAATGTCAAAGGCTAATACAAGAATCAATACTAAAAACTACATTTACTCAACTCTCTCAGAGTTACTTACAATACACAAACTGAGTTTATACACTGTCACTTATACATTTACGAGCACCGGTTGGTAATTATCGTACAATCGGATTACGAACCACCCGTCGGATTCTGGACGTCACCGTCCCGCGTCGTTGGGCTACTCCCACACCCCTTTAAACCGCTCGTTTTAGACCGTCCACGTGTCTTAGCGTGTTGGACATTCGTCCATGCAAGCGCGGGTAGGACCGGTATCTGTTGGTGCACTTTTTGGGGTCAACAGATTGGCGCAGTCTGTGGGAAGCCATACCATAACCACGAGCAACCTTGTGGTAGAAGCTTACTGAAAGACATTTGGGCAACCCCCCTTGAAAAAGGATTTGTTCTTGAAAAAGAACAGGAGGAACCCCGATCACTTAGAGAAGTCTAAGTTTGATAAAGAAAAATGAGTTCTAACGAAGATACTCCCCCAAGGAGGGTAAGAGAAGGTACAAATGTGCCTCCCCAGCCCGCGCCCCAGCAGCTCGGCAGAGGCTCCACCACCACCAAAGGAGAGGTGGGATGCGTGCGACAGCACGACTATCAAGATAAATGGCTACCATGGCAGCCAACATGAAGGATATAGCCAACCAAAACTTGGCCATGAGCTCCCTCATGGCCCAAATGCAAGGCCAGGGGGGCTTCCCCATTCCTCCATATGCTCCCCATGGGCACTATCAGCAAGAGGACGAGGTCCAGAGTCATAGGGTTGCCTCGCCAGACTATGGCCGAGGTGAAAGCCCATTCGAGAGGGAAGTAGGAGTCGACATATCCTCCAACTATGCATCTGGCCGACCCACCGAGGTCCAAATAAGCCATGATAACTTCCCACCTCCATATGAACAAGACCCAAGACAAAGGAGAGCAGGAAGTGTTTTTGACAGAATCAGCCCTGCAGAACCGAGGCCCAGTCAACAGCAGGCTCAGCAGCCTCGGACGAGGCCACAGCCTCCACCTCCGATGCCCCAGCAGCCTGAGAGAAGGCATGAAAATACCCCCCGCGCTGTCCTGCCTAGAAGTAGGCCGCAAAGGAGGGAAGAAGAGGCTAGGAACCGGCCCGGACCCTCTAACCAACAACCGAGGTACGAGGCCAAAAACTACGATTCTGATGAGCAGCAGAGGTTCTGTGACTTGGATGATGATGATGAGAACCTGCCATTCTCAAGAGAACTGAGGAATGCCCAGGTCCCGAGCCACTATGTCATGCCAAAAATACCAAAGTATGATGGGAGAGGTGACCCAGAAAAGCACCTCAACGTTTACAAAACTCACATGAGCCTGAGGGGCGCCACCCCAGCCGTAAAGTGCAGAGCATTCCATTTAACCCTCAGTGGAGCAGCTGAAATCTGGTATAGTAGGCTACCATTTGGGAGCATTCGAAGCTGGCCCGAGTTCAAAACTACCTTTTTGAAAAGGTTTGCAGTGAGCAAGGAAGGAGAGGCCCCCATCCAGCGTCTTCAAGACATGAGACAAGCACATGGCGAGTCCCTAAAGGGCTTCCTATCTCGCTTCACCGACGAGATGACCTACTGCGTACAGGTCACCGACAGAGAAGCACTATCTGTATTGAGAGGAGGCTTGAACATGAACACCCTATTCTGGAGGGATGTGCAGAATCAAGACCCCACCACCTATGACGCCCTACTAGAGATGATGAGAAGGGAGATAATCAATGAAGAATTAATCGAGCATAGGAATAGGGCAAGCAGAGGCCTCCCACCTCCTCAAAGACAGCGAGGTAGGGGACCGACCTCTCACCTCATGGACTACCAGATGAATCGAGCCGGAAATGAGAACTCCGGCCAAGCCCTGGACACCACAACTCTGAACGCGGTTCTGACATTGGCATATGAGGATGTCAACCCAACTGCTGACCCACATCAGATGGAGGCCCAGCAGGGACCCCGTAGAGGAAGAGGCCGAGGCCGAGGTTTTGCACCTAGAAATAGGTCCAATCCGAAGCTCCCTGGATACTGTTTGCACCACAGGTCCTACGGGCACGACACTGCGGATTGCAGAGACTATGCACACCGCTCCCGGCAGGAACCCGCCAGAGAAAGACATAACTCGCCCCAGGCGAACAGGCCCCCGCCCAGGCAAGACAACCGACATGGGCGTGAGGCGGCCGCTCCTCGTCAAAGGGATGTATCCCCAAGGCAAAGAGAGCAAGACATAGAGAGGCCGAGGGAAGAGCGTAGACACCGAAGAAATAGGCAAGGTCAAGATGAGGCCCCTATTCACGAGATAGATAC